TATAAGGCCCAAGAACCACTTAAGGTAGATGGTTACTAAATGTTTATTGAGAATGTCAGAATTATAGATTATACATATATGTAAGTTAGATAATGGTCGATACTAGATTTGCAAAGTTGTAGTGGTTGGGGAAGCACCCGTTTCACAAAACAGCGGCACTTGGGAAGAAGATGTCTGAATAAAACTCTCTTCTTACTAATACGAATAAGATGAGGATGGTTCACCCCTATGTACATGACATAGCGAGTATTAGCGGTAAAAGTCTTAACAGGTGGAACTAAGGAATGGAAATAGGGATAGATTAAGGATGAGCTTGCAATGTTGCGTCAGTATGAGAGGTGTTTTAGAGCTTGGAATAACTCATCGCCTACATGGCCGTGTAAACGGTTTTGAACTCTTCCCATTTTGGAAAAAAAGGAGACAGCTCCAATTCAAAACATGCGGAAATATTCTATTTTTGATCTGCTCTGGCTTTTGTTAAGACAAAGCATATTGTTTATTCATAATTCTTTTGAAAATGTCTTGTACTGACTAGCCCACTTCATTCTTTCCATTGGGATTTTCTTTTTAGTTTCCCCGGAAGACTCTCATATCTTCTGAATGTTTACCGGGCATCTCCCTGTTCGTATTGCGTGCATTACCGATCCTATCTTCTGAAATTCTTTTGACATTTCACACACTGTTTGATTTTTTTTTTCTCCTTGTGACACCAGTTTTTGATTAAAAGAAAGTCTTTGTTCAAAAAGCATAAATGCAAACCCATAAGAAAATTAATAAAAATAGACAAACCAAGAAAAAATTAAATGCATATGAAATTTGAAAAACAGTTTTGTTTAAGCTGAAATACTGGTGTCTCAAAAATATACATACACATTTTGAAGTTTTCTCAAGAAATAATTCAAGCAACTAGAACCGGTTGGTTGTAATTGCTTGAACCAAATAAGGTATATAAAGACGGTATTTATTATAAATGCATGCTCTTAAGATTTTGTCCTCGTACGTTTTCAAATTGGGATCCGTTATGATTGAGACATTGCTGACGCAGTAGAATTACAAGCCACAATCAACATTACGATAGGTATTTGGCTTGTTCTATGAAGCTTTCATTTCAACGATTGTTGCTAGCTCTGTAGCGTAGGTTTTATCTTGTATGTATCCCCAGAAGAAAAAGTCTAAAGAGTTTAAGGTCTTTTGAACCAGGAGAATATTATACAGAAATACGTCTTCCGATCTATCTGTTTGGCTAGATTTTATTCCAGTCCGATCGTACATCACGACAATAGTATGTTTGTGCTTCATTTTGCTGAAAATAAAATCCCTCGTCTCCCAAAACTTCTCTAATTCTAAGTGGGAGAATATGATAGATAAATTATTATATATCAAAACAGTGTTGTGTAATTGTATAGAATGTGCGTTGATATGCGAGTCTTCTGCAGCAAATTTGCATCCAGTTTGCTTCATCTTTCTTAACATATCAGTCTGTAGGATATTAGGTTGGTGCAAAAATAATGTCGTTTTTTGACGGTCAGCTTAACGTCGAAAAACGACATTATTTTGTACCAACCTAATATTTAGAAAGAAAAGCACCAGGAAACCAAATGAAATCGACTGAGCATTTGTGTCTTGATATACTGGATGCCAGATAATTTTAAATTTTAGCGTCATAACAATTTTAACGATTTTTGGAGTTTCCTTCCAACCCTTTTGCTTTTGGTAGTGTGGAAACCTAACATCTTGATTATATCATTATTTTCTCTAGTTGCATGAGGTAACCATTTTTGTTGTTAGAAGTATAGATGACATTTTTTTTTATTTGGTAAATATCTTTATAAGTAGCAGGAATAAGATCTGATGAAGGAGCATCTTCTTTACGATTTATTGGAATTAAGTTCAACGAGCATATTTCCAGATAATTTCATACTAACGCGGGGTTCCGTAGCACTCTCTTTTTGGACTTACACTGTTTCTGATCTTCATCAGAGAACTCTCCGATGTCACCATCTTCTAACTAATTATTTATGCAAATAACTCTTACTCTTGTATTAGTATAAACCCCAACAGACACGACTAAGTAAATGTGGCAACTGCTACCGAAAAGAAGTTCCAATTAATCTTTAACAGGGGTAAAAAATAGCTTGTAAATTTTAACCCCCTTCAAAATAAAACTGCTTTAATATAATCACCACAGAGAAACATCTTAGTTTGTCACCAGCATGGCTGATGCAAGACTTCAGGAGAGCAACACTCTACGCTTTCTTGGGCTCATATTTTCCACTGACATGAAGTGGAGTGATTACATCGAATCACTTGCTACGTCTACTAGTAGGAAATTTAGTTTGTTGTATCGTGCCAGACAATTTCTCTCGTCAGAATCCATCTTGTACATTAAATCTACCATTCGTTCCCGTGTGAATACTGTCGCGATATCTGGTCTGGTTTATATTGAGATTCTTCGCAAAATTCAAAGCAGGGTCTGTAATGTAATTGTTATGGTCCAAGTTCCTTGTACCACGGTGATGGTCCAAGGTTAGAACCAATGAAAGAATAACACGAACACAGATATGGAATACAAAGATATATTACAACAGAAATATAATACAAAGAATAGAAGGATTAGTAATGACTATCAGATTTGGTTAGAGTGAACTATGTTGTCTCGACAAGTATCACTATTCCAATGTCCTTACAATATACTCTCAATTATCTCTCCTCGTCTTACAATCTCCTCATACCTCTTGAGAGGTGCAGTATTTATAATGTCAGGAATAGACCATTATTATTATGGGTAAGTTCCCATAGCAGTAACCGACCCTGTCCTGGCTTCTCGATTTCAGTCCCTTTCTCATCGACGCCACATGGATTCCCTTTTGTTTTTTCTACAAATATTTTCATGGAAACTGTTCTGATAAGCTTTTTTTCATGGTACCTCAACTACATGAATTTAAGCGTACTACTAGATTGGCGACTAGGTCTCACCGTTTTACTGTCGATTTAGCTAGATGCAACTATTCTATTAGTTACTTTTCTCGCACTTCTATCTGGCGGAGTCCTATGAAATTAAATGAAAGAAATTATTAAACTGCAAAGTAAACTTTTTAGCCAAAGTATTTTTCAAACAATTCATTTTATTCAAAGTTCATCGATTGGTTTGAGAAATTGAACGAAACGTAGAGTTTGTAAATCTCGACAAAAATGTTAGCGATAACTTTCATGGTACTAAAATGCTGTGAGAATTTGAATAAAAAAAATCTAGTTTTTAACAATTCAAATTTGTGCTAACAAGACTTGAAATGAAGCAGGTTAGACTTTATCTTACAAGTATTGGTATGTAGAAATAAATCGTGTACAGAAAGAGATATTTATTACTTTTTTTTCAAGATATCTGTTCTTTAAAACGAAGCGTAGTTTTTAACGAAATGACAAAATAATCAAACAGTGAATGTTAATTCTTACAAGGCAAAATGACATTTAATCCAGAACTTCATTGGTGATATGAAGCAAACATGTGCCTTTTGTTTTGACATATTTTCGCCGTGAGAAAAAAATAAAAAATAAAAGCATATTAAAAATTGACATAACGCCAGTTTTCACTCTATCAAAGGTTAAAGTTCGTTTTTTTCTAAATATGAATATTTCTAAGCTCACTAATAGATCATTTTTTTCAACTAAATTTTAACTTTGAAGGATTTTTTCTTCTTTTCTTTTGTAAAAATACGTGAAAGATGGTGTGTGGTGATGATTGGTTTGGATTATTGGCCGTTCGAAGATGATTGTCAGTCGGACTGTTAATTCAACTCTGGAACATCAATAAGAATCGTCATTGTCATTGGTATTCTTGGTGATTCCATGTTTTCTTCACTTAGATTCAAAATAGAAGGATGGGAATTTTCGCTTTTACTATTGTCCTTGCACTAACTTTTTTTCAATGAGATATAGATAGATAGATAATGAACAGGCTGAGCTAGAGATTGATAAATAAATCAGTTAAGGCAGTGGAGAACTATCAGGGAAAATTAACAGGAGATAACTGATAGCTGACATCCATCAAAACATGGCACATGGAACTAGAACAGTCTACCCCAGTGAGCGAAATAAAGGATTCAGTTCGACATTCCAACCACCTGAAGAAGGCCGGAGCGTACAACGGCCGAAACGTTGTGATAAATATGGCGACAAAGATGAGGACAATAGTTTGAATAATGTAAATAATGCATATATATATATATATATATATATATATATATATATATATATATATATTTGGCGATTACCAAATCTGATGCACGTTTGATGAAGACAAAAACTGTTTTAACCGTTATATTTCGGGACAAGCGGCTAGTGAGGACATTAGGACTCAACAAAATAAATCAGCTATAAAATTATTTTCCAAGACGTATACAGTATGAAGGAAGATGAGATTTTATTATATCGTGCAAAGCAGTTCAGCGATTTTTATTGGATTCTAACAAAATGTTTCTTTTTCTTAATACTTTGCTTAGCTTTTGAAAGGTATTTTTCCCTCTTTCAATGTGTCATCACTTTTTCATTTGCGTGATATTTAAATTTCTGTACTTGCTTAATTTTGACGTCTTCAATTTGTAGCTTGTATTTCGGGCTGTAATTTTATCTTCAGTTGATGTTTCGTCCTTTCTTACCTCGTGTAGAAGTTCCTGTAGTTTTCTTTCTGTATCAACCATCAGCACATATGTTGGTGCAGCAAAATGATATACTGAATAAAGTTTATAATCATCTCAGAATACACAGGTCTTATGCCTAAAGTATACCAGATGTGATCACTCAAGAATGCACATATATCATAGATGTTTATATAGCTACAGATGAAAAGGGGAAAATGTCGTCTTGCTGCATTTTTAACTAATCGCTTGAAAGCGAGGATATGAAACCAATTGAGAAATGGCGATAAAATCAAATAGCTTCATTTCAGCAATTTCATAATTTTTAAAATCAATCGGAAAATTGACAATGATAATTCGTATATAATGATAAAATCTATCTATCTATCTATCGTTCTTTCTTTCTATTTATCTATCTATCTATCGTTCTTTCTTTCTATTTATCTATCTATCTATCGTTCTTTCTTTCTATTTATCTATCAATCTATCGTTCTTTCTTTCTATTTATCTATCAATCTATCTATCTAAAGAATGGACTAAAATTGATATATAAAAGAAAATTGAGGAAAGAAGAGGATCACTAATCGTTATAAAATGCAAAATTGTTTGAACAGTTATTTGAAAGCAACATCATAAGCGAGTAAAATACACTGAGCGCTTACATTGATTATTGAATCGCACTTTCTCACTCTTGCATACGCACACACACACAGACACACATACACACAGTAAACTTACACACACAATTACGTATGCACACAGTAGTGTGTCGGAGAATTATGTTGCATAACAAAAATAAATTTATATTTGATTTAATAAAGGTGGCAGAAACAGGAAAAAAGGAGCAAATTGAAATTTATTGTTTTGTATGATATTAAGAATTTGCTCAAGTTTTTATAAATTCTACGTAAAGAAACAAAAATCAATTTTCTTCTGAAATAGTTCTAAATTAAAGTAATATATAGTGATGAAGATCTTTTAGTTTTATTTTTATTCATAAAAATAATTGTTATCTTACTCTAAATCCATTCAACGCATTACGGCTATACGTGGATGATTTCAGCCAATTTTCCCAAAACCAACATTTCAAAACGTAAATATAGAAAAGAACAACAAAACCCTTTTGTCATGCTTTTAAAGGTAACACAGATTTAGTGTTTTTGCTGAAACAAATAAAAGGAATTTGGCAAACATGGATAAATGTGCCCACAATAACAAACCTATCTACCTAGGTTTCACCCACCGGATCATCAGAATAATTCTGACGAAAGAGTGTTGGCCCAAAAGGCATTTTATTAATAAAACGGTCACTAAAAAGAATAAAATTGCATTGGTTATTCCATAAGTTTGGATTCAAGTTAGATATCCAAACTAATTTAAAAATTACAGACTATTTAGACATTACACTTAACTTGTACCAAGGTATAGTATCCCCTTTTAGGAAAAATAACCAATACCCAGGTTATATTAATGTAGGCTCTAGCCACGCTAGACAAATCTTCAGACATATCTATAAAGGCATTATGTTTAGATTGTCTACTAATTCTTCTAATATCAACATCTTTACTCAAAGTAATCACGATTATGAACTAGCGTTAAAAAATAGTGGTTATAAAACCAAGCATATTTATAAAACCAAAGATGACACATCTGATGTAGGTAATAGAGGAAAAGAATAAAGCAAGAAAAAATGCTATATTTCACGCCACCATATAATATGGCTGTAGCTAATAAACTAGGGAAGGAATTTTTTAGATTATTAAAGAAGAATTCTTCCTCCGTCGAATAACCTATACAAAATATTTAACAAAAATACTGTTAAATAAAGCTATAGTTTTATGCCCAACGTTGCGAATTTGATCAATAAAAATAACACTTAATAGCCCCAAAATAACCAACATATTGCATCCCCCAAATGCAACTGCATTAATAAGGCCGCTTGTCCTCATAAGAGCAAATTCCAATATGAATGCAAATGTATAATGTGGAGGTGGATAGCAACAGGCCCAATAATAATAATAATAATAATAGTAGTAATGGTAAAAAAGTATACGTGGGTTCTACCCAAGGACCTTTAAAAAAAGATATTACAATCATGGGATTAATTTCTCACACAAAATATATAGGCACAGGATTATGTGTGGGAAATTAAAAAGAACAAAGGTATGGATCCTATATTCAAATGGGAGGTAACAGAAAAATAACGTAAATATAAGGCTGGTGATAGATATTGCCTCCTGTGTATGGAGGTAAGATTAGCAATAGCTTCTTATAATAACCTTAATGAATTACTCAGCCAGAGATCTGAAATACTTAATGCTTGTAAAGCATAAAAAGTCTTGTTACTTGGCTAATAGAATTTGTGTTTTTTTTTTTTTTTTTTGTTTTTTGTTTTTTCTTATGCTACTTTTTTTTATTCATTCTGGTGGCCGTTTTATCAATAGAATATCATTTGGGTCAACACTCTTTTGTCAGAATCATCTAGGTAGATAGGTTCTGGCTTTAGGTATATATATATATATATATATATATATATATATATATATATAATATTAGTGGTCAATATATATATATATATATATATATATATATATATTTCCAGGAGTACAAAATTCAAGTAGAGCTCAATATACAATACAGAGCAAGAATATAATATAAAAGGCTCAAACACTAATATTCCATGGTTATAATTTTTTACATTGGGATCGTACTACGAACCAATTCATCAGACCTACAAATTAAAAAAAAAATAGAAAAATATTTTGTTTTCTTTTGAATTTGTATGTCTGATGAATTGGATCGTGATTACGATTCCAATGTAATAAATTGTAACCATGGAATATTAATGTTTGAGCCTTTTATATATTATATTATATTATATTATATATATATATATATATATATATATATATATATATATATATATATATATATATATATATATAGATCGAATTTTTTAAAAAGCTTTTTCACTTTTCATTCCATTATCAAATTCTTGATCTATAAGCTTAAGAACCATATCTTTCTTTTCTTCAACAGTTACAAATACCAGGGGAATTTAAGACTCGTTTCTGAAATTGACCAGCCTCAGTCAACGTTTCGCGCAAACGTTGTGACCGCTTGAACCGCAACACTCTCTCTTTCTCTTTCTCTCTCTCCCCCCTATCTATCTATCTATCTATCTATCTATCTATCTGTTTGTGCATATTTATATAATTTATGAAATGCTACAAAGTATAAATCTACAATTAAAAAAATTAAAAAACCCATGACAAATGACCATTTTTCAGGATCATATCTCTTCATATATTCCGCGTGCTTATCTTTGAAATACCACGCATCCTTTGGAAAACGGAGTAATTTCCCGTCGCTTTCTCCACGGTTTGGATTTCAAAGATTTCCTTCTCTTAGACAAGTTGCCATTGAAGCTCTAAAATCCCAGCCTAGTCTGCTACTTAACCAATATCTGGCACAGACAAAGAAAATAGTTAAATGATTAATTATTAGAAAAGAAAAAATGGTATTGAAGAAAGATGAATAAGAGAAATGTAAGGTGAGCAAAAAAGAAGAATGGAGAGAAAAATACTGTTATTAAATGAAATAAAATATGGGAAAACTATATACTGAGTGACTGAAGCGAAAGCGAGAATAAATAATAAAGAAAGACGAAAAAAAATGATAAAGAAAGAAAGAAGGAAACTTAACTGATATAAAGAGTGAAAAAAAAAAAAAGAAAAGAAATAAGTAAGAAATAGAAATAGAAAAGAGAGACTGAAGGAAAAACAGTGGAATGGAAGAGAAAGAAAAAAGAGAAAGACATACAATCAAACGAAAAGAAAGAGAAATGTCATTATTAAGGAGCGAGAAAACTTGAAATAGAAAAAGAAATATGCAATTATAGTTTTAAGAATGAATGAAAAATGGAAATAAAAGATGAAGAGTTAAGAAGGAAATAAAATATAATAGATGGTATTTATCAATTCACCCACAGGAATTGAATGTGGCACAAGGCCTTTTTTAATGTGGGTATGTCTGAGCCCGTAGGCCCAGCCAAAAATAAAACCCATCTAAACCCGTCCAAGCGGGCTAGTTCAAATCAACCTCCCCGAACGAAACCCCACCCTTCGGCGGAGCTTCGTCCAGGTTCCTCTCTGCAAGCAAAGAGTTCGACAGACACCCGACCCGGCAGCTCACAAAGCGCAGATACTACACTTTGATCCTAGCCACCGGGCCCAGCGGGTATTCTTTTTATTGATAAAATATAATAGATAACTACTGAAATAAAAAAAAAAAAAAAAAACGAAAAAATAAAAGATACAAAATAAGAGAAAAAAGAAAAAAATAAAAGATACAAAATAAATAAAGAGAAATGAAAAAAATGAAAGAAAAAAATAAAATGATTGAAAAAAAAAAAAGAAAAAAGAAAGGAAGAGAAAAAATGTAGGAATGATATATACTGGGAATTATAAAAATGAAAGTATAACAAAAAAAAGAACAATATCCAAGACAGAAAATGGAAGAAAAAAAGCCTAAAAACAAAATAAAAAGAGAAAACAACCAAAAAAGACATGTAACAACAAAAGTCCAAGACATAAGACAGAAAAAAAAATGTAACAGCAAAGGTCCAAGAATGATTGTAACAACAAAATTGTCCAAGACATGTAAAACAAAAAAAGGACAAAATTGTCCAAGACATGTAACAGCAAAAGACATGTAACAACAAAAGAAGACAATAAACAATAAAATTATCCAAAAATATAACAAAAATTGTCCAAGACATAACACAAAAGGACAATATGAAACAAAAATCCAGGAATGATATATTGTCCAAGACATGTAACAGCAAAATTGTCCAAGACATGTAACAGCAAAATTGTCCAAGACATGTAACAGCAAAATTATCCAAGACATGTAACAGCAAAATTGTCCAAGACATGTAACAGCAAAATTGTCCAAGACATGTAACAGCAAAATTGTCCAAGACATGTAACAGCAAAATTATCCAAGACATGTAACAGCAAAATTGTCCAAGACATGTAACAGCAAAATTATCCAAGACATGTAACAGCAAAATTGTCCAAGACATGTAACAGCAAAATTATCCAAGACATGTAACAACAAAAATTGTCCAAGACATGTAACATGTAACAAAATTGTCCAAGACATGTAACAGCAAAATTGTCCAAGACATGTAACAGCAAAATTGTCCAAGACATGTAACAGCAAAATTGTCCAAGACATGTAACAGCAAAATTGTCCAAGACATGTAACAGCAAAATTGTCCAAGACATGTAACAGCAAAATTGTCCAACCCACAAAATCTCAAAATGTATAATATGGATGTTTATAGCAACAGACACAATAATAATAATAATAATAATAGTAGTAATGTAAAAAAGTATATGTGGGTTCTACCCAAGAACCTTTTAAAAAAAGATATTACAATAATGGGATTAATTTCTCACATGAAATATATAGGCACGGGATTATATGTGGGAAAACAATAAAGCAAGAAAAAATGCTATATTTCACGCCACCATATAATATGGCTGTAGCTAATAAATCAGGGAAGGAATTTTTTAGATTATTAAAGAAGAATTCTTCCTCCGTCGAATAACCTATACAAAATATTAAACAAAAATACCGTTAAATTAAGCTATAGTTGTATGCCCAACGTTGCGAATTTGATGAATAAATATAACATTTAAAAGCTCAAAAATAAACAAAATCTTAAGTCCCCCAAATGCAACTGCATTAGTAAGGCTGCTTGTCTTCTCAAGAGCAAATTCCAATATCCCCAAAATCCACTAAACTAATTGATTTTCTTTGTACCAAGTTTTTTTTTATAAGACTTTTGGTCATCTTGACATCATTTGCTGTAAGAATCAGTGAAAGAAACCTTCGAGTTATTCAGCTTGAAAGAGAACAGGTTAAGATGCTTTGTGTCAGACCCAATGTCTTCTCAACTGAGCAATAGCGGGGGGGTTAAGGCCTTCAGTAATGGTACCAACATTTACGCTATGACTTTTCATCTTCAAAGCTCATTCAAGAAACATCAAGCGAACTGTAAAATATGTTTAAAAAAGAGGGAACAGTAGAGAGGAAAACTAGATCAGGAGGTCACAAAAGGAAGAGGGATTATCCCTTCAACTTAAGGCTAAAGAGATCAATTAAAAAAGATCCAAATCAATCCATATGGCATTTGACACGTCAGAGAAGAGTTTCACTTCTGACAGTCAAAAGAGTAGTGAAAAAAAAAGCATGACATTTAATCGTACTTGAAACATGTGAAGCACCTTCTTAGGATAGAAAGTTTAATCATCTTGAATAAGAAAATGATCCTGTAATATATATATATATATATATATATATATATATATATATATTTATAATATTTGAACTTAATTTCTATCCTTCATGAGCTTCCGATCCATAGTTATGATTAATTAAAGATGAACATGTCATTTTCGTTTATGATCGATTTTATCACTGTTCTTCTGTTAAGGTTGGAGAGAAATTATACATTCTTATTGCTCAAAATAGATTCTAATAGTGTTATAAAACCTCGGAGAATTCCAGTAAGATATCATTAATCATTTCTAACATACACCGTTTCAATGCTTAATCTAACATTTGCTGTTACACGATTTGGACAATTTTGCTTTTACAACCCGTAAGTCAAAATCGGAAAGAAACGTAAGAAGAAATAATTAAAGAAAGAAAGAAACAAAGTGGAAAGAAAAAGAAAGAAAGGCAGTAAGAATGAACATGGAAAAGAAATGAAAGAAAAGAAAGTCAAAATAAAACGAAAAATTCAAGACAGAAGTAAAAAGTAAAAAGTAAAAGTAAGGGAGGGGAAATAATGAAAAAAGAAAGAAAAGGAAATGAAAAATGATAGAAAGAAATAAAATGTAGAAATAGGAGAGGGAATGCTGAAAGAAAGGAAAGGAAGAAAGAAAAGGAAGAAAGAAAAGAGAAATTAGACCGAGAAATAGAAAATGAGAGTAAACGGAGAAATTCTGAAAAAAATAAGGGAAGACAGAAAAGAAAAGGCAGAGAAAGGAATGAGAAGTGAGGCTAATAGAAGAAAGGAAAAAAAAAAAAAGAAAAAAAAAAAAAAAAAAAAAGAAAGCGAAGAAAGAAATGATTAGAGAAAGAATGACACAAATTTGATAGCTTGATTCATTTTCTACGGCTTATCAACCTTTTGCAGGTTATTTAAAGACAGAAAATATTTTTAGATGGTAAGAATTATTTTATGGAGATAATAAGATTTAGTGATAAAAGTCTTACTAATTAACCCATAGAATATGTTGATTCCTACATTTCCAATAGTATTTCCGCGTAAGTGAATATAACGAACCCAACTGGAATTGGAACTCGGCTCTCCGATTAAAAATTCCGAGACATTATCCATTACACCATACGCACATCCAAGCCTGCAACACCTAATCTTCCCATGCGGTCCCCTGTCAAGGTACTGAGCAGGCTCGCCGTTGCTTAACTTCTCTGATCAAACGGGAACCGGTGTTTCAACGTGATGTCGCCGTAACCGAAAGAAGATAAAAAAGGAAAAAGAAAAAAAATCAGAGGGAGAAATAAAAAGATGAAAGAAAGAAAGACAAGAAGAAAAGAAAAGAAACGGAGAAACAAAAAGTGAGAGTAGAAGAAGAAAGAAAGAAAGAATGAAAGAAGCCAAAAAAAAAAAAAAAAAAAAAAAAAGGAAACACAATAGAAAATTCAAATGGAGAAATCAAAAGTGAAGATATCGGTAGAAATGATGCAACCAGAAAATAAAGATGCAAAGACAAAGACAGACGAAAACAAGAAGACAGACAGAATAAATCAAAATATATAAGGGCAGCTGTCGAAGATAAGAATTCGCCTTTCGTGTACACAGCTCCAGAATCACGAACACAATAAAAGCTGCAAATCCCTAAGACTAAATTCAATTGAATATTTTATCCCAACTCAGCCGAGCAGCAAACGATTAGCTTCAGGCTTAATTTAGCCATTATAATCATCTAGACGATTTCTGTTAGTGACAAGCAAGAAACGATTTCAAGCAGGTCGAATCCACTACCGTCTCCATAGAGGTCAAACGTTTCTCTTAAACTCTCTTGTAACGACGAAAGGTTTAATATATCGAAGGATATATGAAAGACACCAGAGCACAGAAGTTTGTTCGGAGGAAAATAATAAAACGGCTTTAGCATTCAGGCCAGTGTACAAAGACTTATTAACATGGCGGTCACATGCTAATGGCTTGATATCAAAGTCAGCGGTCAAGGAGATCTCATAACGTGATTGCCTATACGACATCGGAATTAAATCTTTCATCTTTTTCACGCAACTTCTCTGGCCAGCGGTACATTTTCTGACTGGCCCCCTATCAAATATAAAATCGGATGTTATATCTTTTTACTTTTATTGATTCAGGGGATGTACCTTCTGTATAAACGGTTACTGGCGTCGTAATTGAATCGGCATTCTGAGTTCAAATTCCGGCAGAATTCATTGTTCGCAATTTACCACAAATGTCCCTGAGAAGGCATGATTTCATTTCTTTTCCTATCAGCTAAGGATTAAATGTTAGGGCAAACGGTGTTTTTTTTTTTTTTACCTTGGTTCGAACTACATTCACGTCCTGGGTAAGACGATACACCACGTCCCCCTCCCGGGTAAGATGATAAACTACAACAGCAAGGCCTCTGATCAGGAAGTTTGGAAGAGCGTGGAACTACCTCTTAGTTGCTGGTGTGCTCAGGTCTATCCTGACCCGTAGTGGTAGTACCTGTTAGGGTCTCAACTATGGGAAAATAGTTAACCCCTAAACTTGGCTCAAAACTATGAAAGTGTAAAAATAGGTTTTAATACCAGCAATAAATCTTTGAACAAAAAATTATTACCAGTAATTAATTTTTGAACAAAAAATTATTACCAGCAATACATTATTACCAGTAACACATTTTGAACAAAATATTACCAGAAATACATGTTTGGAGAAAAAATATTAACAGCAATACATTTTTGAAAAAAGTGGTAGTACCTGTTAAGGGTTCTAGCTATGGGTAAATAGTTAACCCCTAAACTGGGGTCAAAACACTATGGAAGTTTAAAAATAGATTTTAATTCAAATAATATATATCTTTTAGAAACAATTATTACCAGCAATTGATTTTGGAAAAAATACCTGCAATACAAGCAGTACATTTTTGGAAATAAAATGTTACCAGCAATATATTTTGAAAAAATATTGCTAGGAATAAAAATCTTGTCGGCATTAAATAACCCACTGAGGTTGATATGCCGTAAAACAAACCAAACCAAAGCAACCTGGACGACATATCATTTTGTAAAAAAATATAAAGCCAATGAGAATGTCAATAAAATCGGTTTCTATATAAACTCTATATCTGAAAAGAATACATCAATGAAACCAGACTCTCGATCCCAAAAAATAAAAATCTTTACAAAAATGCGTCAATGAAACCTGATATACAAACTGATCTTTTAATAAGCTTACATATTCTCTTCATACGAATCTATTTTAAAAATTCTTGTCGGCATTAAATAACCCATTGAGCATGATATACCGTAAAAAAAAAAAAAAAAAAAAAAAACAACCAACCAAACAACCTTGGTTCACAATCGGTTGAGGGGGAGGAAAACTCTGAATTAAAAACCCTGTGCTCAGCAATTTCAACCTGTAAAAAATCTACATTCTACAAAAACCACGGAAGAAGTCTCCTGAACTTCAAATAGTATTCTAATGGTACTAATGAAGAGAAGCCAGATGTACGGGTGGCAATGTAACCTACATGATATAACCCCCCCCCCCACAAAAAAAAAACACACACACGCACAACAGCAATACCTAGTGCGGTGAGGCTGTGTTTTATACACCACAAGGTAGTCCAATGACAGTAAAGAAGAGTAGAAAGATGTACAGGCGGTAATGTAACCTACATGATACAGAAACCACGGCAGCAATACCTAGCGCAGTGAAGTGGTGTTTTACATTTACACACTACAAGGTTGTCTACTATCACTATCGATGAGTAGAAACAAGTACGAGTCGTAATGTAACCTAAGTGCTACAGAAGCCAGGGTTTTATAACTACCATGGTGAGACTGTCTTTTATACAATACAAGGTAGTCTAATGCCATTAAGGAAAAATAAAAAGATGTACGGGTGGTAATGTAACCTATATGATACAGAAACCACGTCACAAATACCTAGCATGGTCAGTGTCTGCTTTTATATTCCACAAGTGCCAGTAAGGAAGAAGAGAAAACTATTTGAGTGATAATGTAATCTGCAGGCTACTTAAACAACGGCAGACATACCTAACATGATGAGTATGTGATTCTATACTTTCAAAGTGAGTCTAATTATTGAACTTGTGACTTTAATTATGGCTAAGTCTGTTACAGGCTCAAATGTAAAGGGAATGCACTATAAACATACAGACAAATAGAAAAAGAAACTAAATGAAATCGGTTAGATTATATAACCAAAACACGCTCACGCACACACACACACACACACACACACACACACACACACACACACACACACACACACACACACACATATATATATGTGAAGTGTGTTTAAATTTACAGCGTCCCCTCTCCTTCGAGTGCATGTGTAGTCGCATCAACATAAAATCACTTTATTTAGACGAAGTCCTAAAGGACGAAATTCTTCACTCGAAATAGTTTTCCATTTAGCTCTGGTTGTTTCCCTGAATTTGAAATATCACAGTGCGATAATATCTATCTATCTATCTATCTATCTATCTATCTATCTATCTATCTATCTATCTATCTATTCCTCAGACATTTATCTATATAATCCTCAAACATCTATCTATCTATCTATCTATCTATCTATCTATCTATCTATCTATCTATTCCTCAAACATTTATCTATATAATCCTCAAACATCTATCTATCTATCTATCTATCTATCTATCTATCTATCTATTCCTCAGATATTTATCTATATAATCCTCAAACATCTATCTATCTATTCCTCAGATATTTATCTATATAATCCTCAAACATCTATCTATCTATCTATTCCTCATAAATTTATCTATATAATCCTCAAACATCTATCTATCTATCTATCTATCTATCTATCTATCTATCTATCTATCTATCTATCTATCTATTTTAGTGTAGAAGGATTGTACTGTATCAACATTCCGAATAAAGAGATGATGCTCGACTGGAAGTTAAGCCTTTCGATAAATCTATCTTAGCCATATATTTGGGCCCCGTATCTACGACGGTTAATTAATAACATTAGATTAATACGATAAAAATGGTGGAGTTAGGGCCCGGCGAATGTGTTATGGTAATCTATCAAGGGGAGAGGGTCCTACTGACTTATACAGCTTTTTAGCTATCCTTGATCAATGAACTCAGGCACCGATGGGAAATCTATCTCAATCACGAAACAAATCCTAATCATAGAAATTACATTTTCTGAACTCGTTTTCATTAAATGTTCCTTCGCCTATTTTCATGAACAGCCTTTTAGCATTTTACGCACATTTCCTAGGGTCTATTGAATTTGTTTTTGTTTTTTTTTTTATGCGGGAATTAGATTTATGACTCTTCGTAGACTTGACCAAATTTATCAAACTTTCTCTTCCCTCCTTATATTATTGTTTTATTACCATCCCTTCGTTTCCTTATAAATCATTCGTCCTATTTTTCTCCTTTTTCTTGTTCCAGATCTATCTATCTATCTATCTATCTATCTATCTATCTATCTATCTATCTATCTATCTATCTATCTCGGTTTTCTCCTCCTCCTCCAATATAGATTATCGGTGATGATTCAATCTCCCTTTCCACCTTTCTTTCTGCCAATCAAACTTACTTTTCTTCTACATCTCTCTATGTTCTTCTCATCTATCTATCTATCTATCTATCTATCTATCTATCTATCTATCTATCTATCTATCTATCTATCTATTCATTCAACCATTACCTTATCTACATAAATTTATATCTATCTCAACTTTTTCAACATTTATCTATCTATTTATTTTTAATATCAACCTATTCATTTTCTATCTATCTATCTATCTATCTATCTATCTATCTATCTATCTATCTATCTATCTATCTATCTCGGCTTTATTTCCACCGTCAATAATGGTCATCATTGATTTACTCTCTCTTTCCACCATTACTATTGAGTAGTGAGCTTGACCTTTAATGTGTGCCCAGTACAATTAAGCAAGGGTTAATCTGTCATAGCCAACTTAATTATCAATCTATCCAAGCCTGTTCATTATATAATAATGTAAGTCTAGTTATATTAGTCTAATGTACCTTTATAGCTCTGACCAAATACTGGGTTCGTTCTCAAGATGCAGCTTCTTCCAGTCGAACGCTTGTGGCTTAATACATGGAAAATAACTCTTTGGTCAGATCGTTAGACACGAAATAAAGCCATGAGACGTAATTGTAGCACCCGGCAAGTTGTATTCGGTTGTAACATTCTCCTGTAGACAAGCGACGCAGAGGTGGGGCGAGGTGAGAGGACGAACGGTCTAACGGGCATGTCTTCCTTTTCACATGGCGAGCAAATAGTCTCTGTCTTGGCTGCCAGGGACCCTCTTTGTCAAGATCATTTGACATGTTATTGCTGGGATCCACCTAAGTCAGCTGAACTTCGTTACCAAGACAATAATTGTAAAAACAATTTATGTAACATCTTTCATATGTTTCTTGTACCGGTGACTTACCTCGGCGCCCCAAAAGGGCCAGAATCGCGTGTATGTTTTGCAAGGGAGTGTGGAGAGGGTGAATTGATGAGCTTCGGACGGACGGTGAATCTGACAGCACTTTGTGCTAATGGTGCTGGCGTGTCGCTTGTAGCCATTTTTATTAGCTGATTCTGGGCGCTCATTGGCTGCGTGTTGACTGGGTCAGGTGTATGAAAACATGTTACGCTCATTTAACAGGTGTTGAGATTGTCCTTCGAGGGTTATGATCCAAGTCGAGATTCCCAACCTCCCCAGTTTGTTTTGGCCCTCTTTTCATCTCGTCCAAATGGGCAGAATACAGCTGCCTCTCATTTTGAGGGTTGGACAGGCCCTACTAACATCATTTATGTTTAGTTTCTTTTGTGTTAACATTTTAGTTTCTTATTGGGTTCATCTCCCTCCCCTCTCATTTTATTCATCTATAATTTTTTAAGTACACATATATAATCATTATATTTTTATTGTATGGGGTGGGTTTTGAGAGGATGTGGTATTATGGTGTATGGAAGATTGATTGATGACGGGCGAGTTTTTGCGATGAATGGGCAAATTGTAATGAGTGAATTGGGTCCTGAATTAGCTAGGTAGAAGATAGTTAGTGACGACCAGCTTCAACTCCTCCCCATTTCGGTATTGTGTCATAATTGTGTAATTTTAAGCAATAAATATCGAGATTGTCCTTCGGGACGGCGAGCAGCATATTGGAGATCAAGGCAAGAAGTGTGGATTTGTTTTGCTGAGTGAACCCATTGGGCTTGTCCTAACTCTCTTTTTCTGTGTGTGCTTCTAACCAATTTTTGCAACACTTCTTTAAAAAGATATCGGGGACAACTGATATCGCTACACTAATTCATATATATATATATATATATATATATATATATATATATATATATATTGTGAAATATATCTTTTCGATGCCCTGCCATATTTTTTTAGTCGAGGCTAATTAAGGCATTCCGGTGTTACAATATCATACCCCCCTTTCTTCCCGACGACCAAGTAGATATTATTCAGACGTCAACTTGTATGCCATACCGTCAGATACAATTCTTTTCATAGTCTAAGGCTCCACTAACTGACTTCGAATCCTCAGGCCTTTATAGTCCAATCACGATCGACTTTCGGTCAGCAACTTCTTCGCTCTTCCAGGAAATAGAAATACATTGTTATGGCCTCGTCCTCAATTTGTTATGGCATGCGAATTAATTCTCATGACAACCAACCTGAATAAAGTGGCGCGCGTGAGTTATGTGAAAATGGTCAAATAATATGGCTTCTAAAATTTGTGTGATTAATAAGATTAGAAATGTAAAAACTGAAATGATAACAACATGTATGTACTTTAGATAGATGAAATGCATGCGGAATACGTATAGATGAGTGTTGACCTAGTTGGATTCAACGTGAATTGAAATTACCTGCGTGAGTGCGTTGTAGTTCAGTTCGCCATGTTTTCAGAAAGAGTCGAGACAAACTCTCTAATCTTGGAGATTAGAAATACGCCAAGGGACGTAACTCATATCGAGTTTGAAGTTAACTGTCATTTAATTATATAATTTTTTTTTATTTTGGGCTTGACCCTAACATGCCTACTGTCGTAGTTGTATTGAACACTGACTAACGTTTTTAAAGGCATTTCTCAATCATACGAGGTCAATGGGCATTTCAAACTGTATTGTTCATTAATTGCCGTTATTATTTCCTTACAATGTCACGAAATTATCATATAGGAAGTTTTATATGTGCCAGATTGAGCTGTTGTTAGGATCTTCTACCATTATTTTTCTTTGCATTTCTCTGTCTGCGCCATGAATCGGGGGATGTCGTAATGTAAGAGAAATCGGCGAGACAGGTCCAATCTCTGTCTTGACTGTTCAGTTCATTTTTGTATAAGTTCTCTTGGCAAAAGCATAAATCCATTTCTTCTACACCAACCCAGGCAGCTATGAGACACGGTTCTCTTGCTTTGTGTGGTGATCAGTCTAGAGGAAAGACAACTCTGAATTTAAAATCGTAGAGAAGTCAACGGAAATTTATTTCGCTATCTTTACCAAGAAATAGAGGAAATTGATAGATAAAAAAAGGTATTTGTGGAGAGCCACAATTATCTACACCGTTAAAAAATTGCACCATATTCTCTATCTGATTATGGTTAATTCTAAAGCTTTTTTTCCTACACATGTTCAATAATATTCTGTGCGAGCAGTGAAGTGCGTGTTAGAACGTGCCAAATGCTTCTTTCACTGATGCTTCATCCGGTCAGATAGGGTTCAGTAAGGCACTCGCGCTATAGATTTCAAAAAGAAGAGAACAAAACCAGTGAAATCATAAAATGAGAAAAGAGGGTTTGGAAAATATGACACTAACAAGTCCTAATGAGTAGAGCAGCGCATATCTTACCTCACGAGCTTGTGTAATTGGTTTGCAGAACAGGGATTAGGAGATATAGCGAAACGACAAACGTTATTAAGAGATACAAAAGACAGGAAATCGTGGAGAGCTATGATCGTTTACGCCCTGAAGAGACAGAACTCATAGAAGATGAAGAAGAAGAAGATTTGAGTTAGAGCCACAGTTTAAATAGACCTCCTGTTTAGTAGAGTCTAAAATCCATAGGAAAAAAATGTTTATCTGTAATAATTTCCTTTGCTTAATTAGTTAACAAAACTGTTTATATAGGTCACCCTGAGCAAAGCGAAGATTTATTATTATTATTATCGTTGCTGACTTAATGTTTAATAAGCCTCACAGACATGCATCTGTGCATCTCTTGGGGTAGGCTAGGAGATAATAGATAAAACCATTTGTGCCATTTAATGTATATTAACTTCTGAACTCAGTCAGTTAGTCAGTGAAGGGGCATACATGATACACGTTAAGGTGATCATGTTTCTTTCGATCCATGAATGACTAGGCAGAAAAGTTGCCATTTCTTTTAGCGGTAGATTGGATGGCAACCAAGGCTAGAAAAAAAAATGGCTGTCCTGCTATTCAACCCGGGTATTTGTGCGTAAGTGAATGTAACGAAAGCGACTGGAATTTGAACTTGTCTCCCCGATTTCTCAATCGGAGCCGATATCCATTTGTTCTGCACTACAAATACTATAAGGTGAACTACCTGACCTAACAAGCTTATACAAATGGTTGAAAGAATAGGGATTAGCAGATATAGCGGAAGGACAAACATTACTAAGAACTTCAAAGGACAGGAGAATGTGGAGAGCCATGATCGTCCAGGCTATGAAGGGAAAGACTAGACAGAATAGACTTTGTGTCATTTAGAGTATATTAATTTCTGAACGATAAATACTATAGCGTGAACTAAAAATCAATAAAGCAGGATAATGAGAACACAGTTCGGTCAAGAGTATTGGGTAGTTAGACGAGTGTGACCATTATAAGTCGTAGGCCTAGACGTTGGTCTATGGGTAACAAAGACACTTCTCGGCCCAGAACAATGAGAAAATAAATATTAGTTAGGGGCTAGCTTGGTTGCAAAGGCTGTTGCAGTTTTTTGTGTATATGTAACTAGTGAGCCAGTCAAAATGACTTGACTCACTTTATAGTCCACCAATAGAAGGTTAACCAATCAGAAGACGTAGAATATTCAACCCGTCGTGTATTAAGGCGGCCATTTTTGTTCACTCTACCCGAATGTCCAGTCCAGCTTGTCAGGCGAAAAGAAACAGAGGGACGAACTATGCTCTGCTACTTTTACCAAAATATCCACTGCTAACGTGAACAACGCTTTCCTACTGTCTTCGAAATATTCACTGCTAACCTCTGGATTCTATACTCGAAGACGACCGTCATGATGAATAACAAAGGCTACCGAAAGAAGGTCAACGTGAATATCAAAACGCCGTCTGGATTTGTTTAGTTTTCTCAATACATTACCCAAGAGCCACACAAGTTAGCCTTTCTCATGTTTACGCATGGCCGCATATGATTTGATTTCATAGTATTGCTTTTCTTAGACTGGTTGCCACGCAAGGTAACTTTTATTCCATTGCTAGAGTGAGAAAAGAAGCAGGAAAATTTCGTTAGAAAAAAAGAAAAGATTGTTGAACTGCTATGTAATATCGGTCCCTTTATATTGTAGTGAACAAGGATAAGGTGGATTTGGAGAGCCATGATAATCCACGTACTGAAGGGACAAGGCAAATAGATAAAATGATAAGTATTATTATATTCTTCCCTAGCTATGGGTTAATTAATAAGATTTG